TGTTTCAGTCGTGAGATAGATAGATAGATAGATAGATAGATATAAGCAGACTGAAAAAGACAGATATATAGATAGCTACTAGTAGATTTTGAAACATCACACCACCTCCCCAAACACAGGAAGATAGAGGAAAACAGTTTGGGACAGATAGATAGATAGAAACAGTAATAGAATGAATATATATATATATATATATATATATATATATATATATATATATATATATATATATATATATGTGTGTGTGTGTGTGTGTGTGTGTGTGTGTGATAGATAGATAGATAGATAGATAGATAGATAGATAGATGATAATGAATGTGAGCAGACTGAAATAGACAAATAGATAGATACCTACTAGTAGATTTTGAAACGTCCCACTAAGTACACCTCCCGAAACACAGGAAGATAGATAGATGAAAAGAGTTTGGGACTGAATAGATAGATAGATAGATAGATAGATAGATAGATAGATAGATAGATAGATAGATAGATAGAAGATAACAATGGAATGAATATAGATGAAGATAGATAGATAGATAGATAGATAGATAGATAGATAGATGATAGATAGAAACGACAATGGAATGAATATAGATAGATAGATAGATAGATAGATAGATAGATAGAAACGGCAATGGAATGAATATAGATAGATAGATAGATAGATAGATAGATAGATAGATAGATAGATAGATAGATAGAAACGGCAATGGAATGAATATAGATAGATAGATAGATAGATAGATAGATAGATAGATAGATAGAAACGGCAATGGAATGAATATAGATAGATAGATAGATAGATAGATAGATAGATAGATAGATAGATAGATAGAAACGGCAATGGAATGAATATAGATAGATAGATAGATAGATAGATAGATAGATAGAAACGGCAATGGAATGAATATAGATAGATAGATAGATAGATAGATAGATAGATAGATAGATATGAGCAGATTGAAATAGACAGATAGATACGAGTAGATTTTGAAAAGTCTTCACCAAATCCACCTTCCCAAAACACACTTAGAATGACAGACAGGAAGATCGATAGATAGATAAAATGACATTAGGACTGAATAGATAGATAGATAGATAGATAGATAGATAGATAGATAGATAGATACCAGTAGATTTTGAAAAGATCTCACCAAGTCCACCCTCCCAAAATCTGAATCAGAATTTTCTTTCTTACTATTCATTCATGAGTATACCTGGAATATTTCACCGCCCGTAAATATAAACACATTTAGAATGGAAGACAGGAAGATAGAATCGCAGGGTTTTTTTTGTTTTTTTACTTCAATATTCACGAAAAACGAACCAAGTGAACTGTCCCGACTCGAAAAACATCGTCATTGATGCTATGTCGTAAATGTCAGCAATACACATGTCAGTCTCCAGATTCAGACGAACTTTTTCGTCAAAATGACATTTCCTGTACAATTTTCCAAACTCTGAGGCATTTTTAGCGAATGCATTTTTTAAAACCATTTCATTTGATCGGTTTTTAGTTAAACTAAAGATATTGAATTATAATTTTTTTCATCAAATAGAAATATCAGCAAACTAATATTTTAAGATATTTTTTTTAAATGTGCCATGTCACTTCTGGAGGTAGGGAATTATTGATATACACGTTTGACTTTCCTTTAACATCTGAAGAGTATGGAGTCATAAGTAGTTTTCTTTTTAGGGGACTAATTGTAATGACAACTTTTTGTGATCTTAACGAAAACTCATTGCTACTTTTGTAATGCCAACGAATACTCGTTGTCACTTCCGCAATGCTCGTTGTAGCAGAGGCTTTATTAACGCAGATACAACTATACTACGCCATTGAACTATACTAATGTGCTATACGCCTTTGAATAACAATCGCATTAATATTACTTGCTCGATAATAGTCGCTCGAATAGTAGCCAACGACTAGTAATCCGTATAGAGAAATAGTATAGCGGATAGAGTATAGAATATCAGTCTGAATAGTAAAAGATGATAGAGTAGAAATGGTGATCCGTATAGTAATAGAGGATAGACTAGAAATAGCGATCAATTAGACACACGCTACCTCCTATATATGCGTTTCGTTTATGGTCACGTGGTCTACTTAATTCAGTTATGGGATCGCCTGTGTTTACTCACTGGCGATCTATGTTAAAACCCACATGTCGGCAGCGACACTATTCCTATATAATACAAAAGTACCATCCTATCTACAAATCACACGTGACAATTGAGAATATATTTGGAGTATACTAACATACTTCGTTATTTACACGGCTTCGGCAGCATTCACAGTTGATTAATAGAACAAAAAAAACTGTTCTTCTTCTCCATAACAAAATATCCCATGAAGTAAAAATAACTCTTCTTTTTCGCCGTGTCCCTTCAGGACTTAGGCGATCATGGCCATCCACTTCACCGTATACCTTTAGCTCACAATAATTTTTATCCCTTTGCTACTTCCCCTAGACCATATTCTATCATCCACTTGCTTAAGCCCGCTAGGTATATTATGATTTGCTTTGCCTTGTCTCCCTTTCCCTCTATTCGACCCGTGAGTATCAGATTCTCCAAGTCCTCCTTACTCATTACTTGTCCTAGAAACTTCAGCAGCCTCTTCCTGATGTTAAGTATAAGCTTCTCTCATGTTTGCATCCTCTCCAAAACCTGGTCGTTGCTCACACGCTTGGCCTATGATATTCTTAACATCCTTCTGTAGAACCATAGCTCCGATGTCTCGAGTTGCTTCTTCATGTTTGAGGAGAACGTCCAACATTCGCTGTAGTAAAGAAGGGCATATGTCACGTAGCAGCTCAATACTCTTTCCTTTGTTGCCAAAGAAAATTCTTCTGTCTTGTAATGCTCTGCCTAGCTTTTGGAATGCCCCTTTGGGCCATCCCAATACGTCTTCGGATCTTAAAGTCGCACTTACCGTCCTCCATAAAGAAACTTCCCAGATATTTAAACTTCCGCACCTGCTTGATTTTAGTTCCCGACCTGCAAATCGGATTTCAGGCTCATTCCACACATGCATTAAAATTATGATTCTTTTTCTGTAGGTTAAAATTACAAACATAGACTTCAGGATGTAGGCGATCATGGCTCTCCACTTTCTCTTATGCCTTGTAACTCATAATAAGATTCGCCCCTCTGTCACCTCCGCATGTCCGCGTTCTGTCATCAACTTACTTAAACCCGCCTGGTATATTATGTGTTGCTTTCCCTTGTCTCTCTTTCTCTCTATTCGACCTGTGAGTATCAGATTCTCCAGACCCTCCTTTCTCATTACGTATCCCAGAAATCTCAGCTGCCTCTTCCTTACGCATACTAAAAATTCATTTAATAACTTCAGGTATATATCTTCCTTTTTTATTTATAAAATTCTTATTTGGAAACCTGTAGAATATATTATAAGTCTTCGTCTTTATGTGCCGTATCTCCTCAGGACGTAAGCGATTATGGCTCTCCACAAATTCCTGCCCCTTGTAGTTGTTAATAAATTTTGTGTTTTTTTTATTTCTCATCGACCCTGCTCTGCCAAACACTTGATTCAGCCCGTCAGGGATGTCATGCATTGCTTTTCCTTGTCACTCGTTCCCTTATCCGCCCTTTGAGTATCAGATGCTCCAAGCCTTTCTTTCTCATTACGTGTCCCAGAAATGTCTGCTGTTAAATATAAGCTTCCTCCTTGTGTGCATCCTCTCCAAAACCTCATCGTTGCTCAAACACTTGACCCATGGTATCCTTAGCATCCTTCTGTACAACCATGCCTCGAGTCTCTTCTGAATTTTTGAAGAGAACGCCCAACATTCGCTACCGTAAAGGAGGACAGATGTCACGTAGAAGGTTAGTGCTCTTTTCCTTTATACCAAATAAATATTTCTGCCTCGTAATACTCTGCCTAGCTTTTGGAATGCGCCGTGGGTCATCGTAATACGTCTTCGGGTCTCAGGGTTATACTTACCGTCCCTGTTGAACGACAGCAACAAATTCGTTTGCTGTTTTCGCTCTGTTCTACTCTATGCGCCATATTCACCCGCCTTTGTTATATTAGATTTTCTTGATCGCTGTAAAATGATATTTGAAGAGAAAGTAAAGGAAACAAATCCAAGAGTCCGTTAAAAATGTTTTCACATCATAACTTGCGGAAGTTTATTTGAAGTTTCTGGAAGAGCGACCTAATAAGTGTATATATATATATATATATATATATATATATATATGCTTTGTACCCGACGATATATTATATATGTATATTTATTAATATATATCTTTTCTTAGTTTGACTACATCAAGCACTAATATCTTTAAAACTCATGAGTAAATTTGATCATTTTTATCTTCGTGTGTGTGTGTATGCACGTGCGTATACGTTTGCATATATATATCTGACCATTTGATTTACCTACGTCTCTCTCTCTCTTTCTATATATATATATATATATATATATATATATATATATATATATATATATATATATATGTGTGTGTATGTATGTTTATATCCATACATATATATATATATATATATATATATATATATATATATATATATATATATATATATGTATGTATATATCCAAAGCATATACTCAATTTCGATATAACCACAGATACGCAAGTAATGAATCAAACCACCATCATAAAATTTACAGAAATCACTGCAATATGCAATATGCAATCTACCAACTCCAACAATAAGAAATATGGATAATAATAAAATAAAATGTATAAAAGCTTTAGAACTCAGCAAATTAAATTTATAGTATTTAGAAAAAAAAACAAAGATAGTAAAAAATAAACAGAAACATTGTAAGCACAACTTTACAAGGTATAATCCACGGTTTAATCGTAAGAATTTTCCTAAATTTAATTCATAAGCACTTAAACCATGAAGAAAGATATTTTGACAAAAATAATATTAATATCGCCTATAGCTTCGTTAATAACTTCGATGAATCTATATCCCAACATGACAATATATTAAATAACGTTTCCAACAAAGACAACGTTTACTTTTTTGTAGAATAAAAGCAACTGCCAAAGAAATATGATCTGTCCCTTAAACTGGAAATGTATGACTGATAATATTATATACCAAGATAGCGTAAAGGTGTCAAATTTTATTTTTGGAAAATTTCGTTTCTACCATCATCTAATTAAATATTTCTGGAAATTAAAGAATGGTGGTTGTATAACTATTATCAGCTGGCATATTTTAGCAAGAGCCAACTCTTACAATGGAACGGAGTATAGATGTAATTTATGTCTTGTTGAAAAATTAGTTATCTTAAAATTGTTACATAACCCTAGTTTATTAAACAAGAGGAATGAATTGATGGTTACATGTAGGCATAAAATAAATATCTGCTAAATACTTTGATCCAGATTAAGTTTTAATGTAAATTAGGTTTTTTTTTTTTTTTTAAATGAACAAGTAATATCCCTTTAACCTTCATTTAGAATATATATATATATATATATATATATATATATATATATATATATATATATTTTTCACTACTCTAATTTTTTTTAAAATTTTTACATGTATATACAAATCCCTTTGATTTTAAAGCTCAAATATATATGTTTTTTTTTTCAAATTAAGAATATGTATTCGTAGTATAATATATAACTGTACCAACATGCTGATAATCAGATATTTTTATTGGAATTTAAATTACGTAATAGTCAGTCTAGACTCTGCACCTGAAGATTACGTTGTGCATGAAATTCGGAGTCGTTCTATCGATGAGGTTTAATAGGTATATTTATTAATATATTGTTATGGTCCAATATCCTCGTACCACAGTTATGGTCCAAGTTTAGAACCAAGGAAGAACAACACGAACACAAGAGTAGAATAACAAAGATATATTACAACAGAAATATAGTACAAGAAGTTGAAGGTGTCAGTAATATTTGTCCGTCTGGTTTAGAGTGAACTAATATTGTCTCGACTCGTTACACCATTCATTCATTATACCTCTTGAGAGGCACAGTATTTATAGTGACAGGAAGAGTCCATTATCGTTATAGGTAAGTTCCCATAACATATATACTATCTATCTCTCTATCTCTCCCCCTCTCTCTCTATATATATATATATATATATATATAGAGAGAGAGAGAGAAAGGAGAGAGACAGAGACACAGAGTTAGAGAGAGAGAGAGAGAGAGTCAGAGAGAATAGAGAGAGTCCATGATTTTGGATGATATAGCGGCCATGTAGAATTGTAT